ATTTACATGAGAATATTTTGGTAAAAAAAGAAAATAGTGTAAGGGTAGAGAAATAGATGATGGGGTATGTGGTAAAATTTCTTAAAAAAAACATATGTTATATATGATCCAAAAGATTGAAGTCTATCCAAATCTGATTTTTAATACATGTATCCAAAAATGATTTCTATGCATGTAAAACTAATAGTATCATGGTTATCTAATAGAACAATTATTTATTATTTTGTCACTTTCTGAATCTACCTCTAAAAGTAAAATAAGTTTTGAAAGGTTAAGTTTTATGACTTACATCATACTAATGGCAGCAGCAATTGTGTATCCTATTGCAGTTCCATAAAGATTGGAGTACTGAACTATCCCACAAAGGGTGTCATTGAAACCCCCTGCAAAATTGTTTTCGGTTAAATTTTACATTATCTCATATATACATTAGAACAAAATCATTCCATTTCAAAGTTACCGAGAATGGTGTGAACAGCTTCCATGAAAGTATAGTTTCTTTTTCCATAATGAGGATCTCCTATTCGATAACATTCAGCTAGGAGTGATGAAGTATACCAAGTGATCAGACTGAAGAAAAGCATGACTGAAGGACCTATTACCCAACCCAATTGAGCTATAGCCCATGCCAACGACAACACTCCTGATCCTACCACTGCTGTTATTATATGCGAACTCGTTGTCCAAACCGTCCCTGTCACATTAACAAACTCATTCTCATATACTATGATCATCACAGATTCATGTATACTGACGATTAGTTAATTTAAAGTACCTGTTCGTTTAAGACGGTCATCATCGTCGTACAATTTGGAGTCATTGTGTGAAGGAACAGCCGGTTCTGTAAAGCGTTCTTCCTTCTCCACCATTGTCAAATTCTAAAGGGTGTTTGTTTTTCAGAGTGTTTAATTTCAAACGATGTTTATTGTTTATGAAAGAGATAGAGACAAAATGAAAATACAATAATTGAGAGAAAGATTATTCGGTAGCGATAATGACCTTGTTGTCGTTTTGTTTTGTTTTTGCCATCAATTCTACTGCACTTTCACTCTCACAGATCTGAGAACACAGATCACCAAAGAAATAGACAAGTTTTTACAATTATGTCATGTGAGCTGTCATACTATCACAATTTGAATGAAATATTCAAATTTCCATAAAAATAAAAATATTAAATTGGATGGTGTAAGGATTTTTCTCCGTTGGAGTAAATAAATATTTTCGTTACATAACCATTTTTATAATATAAAATAAAAATAAAATTAGAAAGAATATAAAAATTAAATGCATTTAGACATTTAATTTTTTTTTTTATAAATTCTCATATATGAAACCGGAGAGAGTAATCTTTAAACAATAATGTATATGAGACCTGAGCCAGTAGTGTTTAAATAATAATATTGAAATAGTAGAAACATATTTCATAAAATTACTAATACTAAAAATAACAAATTTTAATATTTATTTTGATTTTTATGAAATAGAAGTTTTTGTTTGAACTCGTGTTACAGATTTTTAATCAGAGTAATAAAAAGCTCAAAATCAATTTATGTTTTTAGAAGCATGTCAATATTATTATGTATAGAGTAAAGAATAATATTCTCTCCGTTCTATAATGAGTGATTCATAGGTCATTCATTAAAGAATATGATGGATAGAACAGTATTAGTATTTTGATTCAGGTTGAATTTAAGTGAAACATGCAAATTTAAAATGATAGAACAAAAGTTTGTTTGGATGAATAAAGAAGAGATGGAGATAGTAGAGAATAGTTGCGTGCAAGTATACTGTAAACTCACTGAAATCCAGAAGCAGGTTTCTTTGTTCTTGGCTCTCCACAAATCAATGAACTGTATATAGTCTTCTTCATTTATAGCTACCTAACAGCTGGCTTATCATTCGGTCAAATTCGGCGTGCTAAAGACACTATGTTTGGATGCTCTCAACTCAAATTGTCCTACTTTGAAATTTCAGCCATTCAAAAATAAAATAATATGTTTGTATGCTCTGAACTCGAATTATCTTTCTTTGAAATCTCAGTCATTCAAAAATAAAATAATAGACAGATTTTTTTAAAATTCACTTATTAAAAATTATTAAAAATGAACAAGTGAAATGTCGTGAATTTAAACCCATACTTCTGCATCTAATGTTCTTACACAACTACACATTTAATGGAATATAATAGAGTTAACTTAGAATATAAAAAATGGACGGATAGAGTTTTAACGGGGGAGATTGTGACTGGAGACGACTCCACTTGACTGAATTCAATTCTTCATGCCTACCACTATCTCAGTTTCTGCTGTGACATTATCAATTACTTAAATACTAATCTGGTAGTATCAAATGTAATAAAAAAATAAAATCAAACGAACTTACTTTAGATTTGCATCAATACTTCTGACACTTTATTTATATGTAAAACTTCTTTTCTTTTTAAAAGAATATTTTAGTTATATTGTCCACGAATCTTATCTCAAATATTAAAAATTAATATTATTAAATTAGACAAACTCATCTAGATTAAAAATTAAAATTAAAATTCAAAATCTGATAGTTGTGCGTATTAGACAATCTTACGTTTTAATTATATATAAAAAATTAGCCTTAGTTTGTGATATTCGTTCCTAACTTGTTAATATCTGTGCAAAATGAATAGACCAAGGTTATACAATTGTCATTCATTTCTCCAAAACGTCATTGAGAAAAGGAATCAATGTGGCAATGATAAAATTGTCCACCAAACTAACATAAATATGTTTTGATTGTAGACTGGCAAACCGGGAATTTTAACAAAAGCAGCATAGCCCATGCGGCCACAGAGCAAATAAAATGTTGTGGTTACTGCAATACTTCTTAGCTTTGCAGCTTTCTTCATTGCTTTTCCTTCCGATGGTGCAGATCTGATGGTGTTCTGTGTATTCAGAAAAAACATTAATTAGTTTGAATAAAGCTTCTTACACATTTGTATACTCACATCCCTTCACACCAAATTATGTGCTGAAATAGTTGTGCAAAAAACTAGATGTAACTAGCTGTAGTTAGATACTCTTATGTTCCTTAAGATCGGTCATCTAAAACGAGATGTAATCAGCTGTAGTTAGATACTCTTATGTTCTTTAAGACCGGTCATCTAAAACGAGATGTAATCACCTGTAGTTAGATACACTTATGTTCTTTAAGACCGGTCATCTATAGCGAGATGTAATCAGCTGTAGTTAGATACTCTTATGTTTCTGAAGACCGGTCATCTAAAACAAGATGTAACTAGCTGTAGTTAGATACTCATTTATTCCTTAAGATCGGTCATCTAAAACGAGATGTAATCACCTGTAGTTAGATACTCTTTGTTCTTTAAGACCTGAAATCTAAAACAAGATGTAATCAGCTGTAGTTAGATACTCTTATGTTACATGGGTCTTCGCTTCTCCAAAAGAGGAATGGACAAAGTGAAACTTTCTGATTTTCCTATTAACAAAAACCAGCTGAAATCAAACAACAAACACAAACCATTCAACGATCATCAACCAAACTATATAACCACATATCAGTAGAAAGAAATATTGTCAGGTGACAATGAACTACAACTACCATGCATGTCATGTCAGTTATGTGGAACAATTTAATACCACGCGTGCCAGTTATGTGGTACAATTTTTATGAGAATTGGAATATATTGAAGTGTGATTTAAATTGATCTGTAAGCAAATTTCCACATCGGAAATACTTTAAAGAGACGTTCAAATTTGTTTTATGTTAACAAGTTTATTTTGTAAACTGCACTAAAAGTTGTCGAGACGGCTACACCAATATGAACAAAATTAAAATCCATTTGAATCTCGCAAAACATGACATTAAAGAAAATATAATGTAAAATACATCTTATTTCATTTTTAACAGAATCTAAAATGACCCACAAGATTTAGGACTCAACTTCTTATTGATGTTCCTATTCTACTCAAAACATAAGGTTGTAACTTCAGAATAACTCAGACATCAATCTTAAAGTGTACTTACTTGCAATACCGGCCTAGGCCCTTGCTCAATCATGGACTCCAGGGAGATTGAGTTGCAACTTTTCCAATAATAATGCATTTCACACAACCATCATTCGATTTACTTCCCCTATAAAAGAGAGAGCATAGTAGTTCCTTTAAGCAAAAGTGGAAGATTTTTCCTATACACATCTTTGAGAGGCTTGAGCTGATTTGATAAGAACTACTGTAGTTGGTGTTATACCAAATTATGCCCAACTTAATGACTTGGGCAAATATTTTAGCTTTGCATCCATTAAACATGTATAAACAACGAAAAGAGGGAGATAGACCTGAGTTAGAATCGGGTGGAGCGCAGTTTAAGAGTTGTAGCTGGAAGCGACTACAATCTGTAAGTGGCACCATTTAAAGAGTTGCGGCTCATTCTTGGCTCATTCTTCTATTCTGACGCTAGTTTCAGAACATATTTACAATAAATACAAGCCAGTGTCTTTTTCCTCATGCTTGTTTAGCCAAAACATTCAAATAGCATAGAACATACCCAGCTTTTATCATATATGTAAGTAACTTCCATCATTCTCATAAAAATGAATTCAATTATGGCCAACCACAGAACGTTTTCGGGGAAAATAACTAGGCCTCAAAGAGATTCTATTTCTCACCAAATGAAGCTCACAATGGAATTAGTAATTTATTAGGACTAACAGACAATAAACAAAACCATCGGCAATAGCTAATATCAAACTATTACGTTAATCAAACAAACCCTTATAAGTAAAGTTTTACTTTATTAAATAGGAACAAAAGAACGAGGTTAAAACTTCATTACAATAAAGAAAAACTATCACCCGCAAATTCCAATACAAATTCTGTTTTCTGAAATACAGCAGAAAAGCATCTACGATTCCACACAAAAAAACACCTTACTCATTGTAGTATAATACATTCTGGTTTAGTAAAATCATTTCACCCCAAGGTAAATCACGATAAAGGTTAGAAACCTCAACAAGTTACAGGTTTGTTGTCAAAAGTCTCTCTTGCTTCCAATAAGTCTGGGCAGAATCTCTTCGAAAGAATTTCAACCTGCTCAATAAATGACTTCCCTACACGATCCCCAATATGTTGGACCATTTGATCCCATCGTTTTCTGCATACATCACCAGATCTATGCTCAAGTAGATCGTCCCAGTCTACCTCCTCCATGCTGCAAGCATCCAAAGCATACAAAGCCTCTACCAAGCGGAAGTCGTCGGTATCGCACCAATCACCACTAGCAACCATTGTCGATGTTAACTGATCATACCACTTACTGCAGCAAAGTGCACTGTTTCGGGTTTCTAACTTGTTGCCAATTGCCTCCCAACAAATATTATCTCGCAACATACCATGTTTGGATTTTCTATAAGGCTCTAAAGCCCTCGTGCGCAGATCGGTGTTTACTAAATTAAATAAAGTTTGATATTCCTCTTGGGACCATCGTCCTTTCTTTCTTTTTGTAAATTTTAACTTGCGCCACGCATCTGCTATCTGATATTGACTTTTACCCAAAGCGTTAGCTACTCCCCTCCAATTAGGTCCATTTTGCTCGTGGGCTTTCCGTATAAAGTCAATCTCATATGGTGTCCATTTAAACTTCTCATTGCTTTCAAACAAATTACGAGCACGACGAATCACACTCTCTTTAGGCCTCTCAGGTAGGACTTTTGCAATAACTTTCCAACAGCCTTTAATTGAAGAGTGTTGCCTGGAATGAAGAATCATATCAACACCTTCATCTCCCAAACCATGAGAATCTATAAAGTCATAAACAGATGCTCTGATCTTCTCATCTTCTTCTGGTGTATACCTTTTCCCACACACTAAGCCATCATAACAAAACTCCTCCACTTGATCAGAAAAAGTTACCCGTTTGGGTTTACATGTTCCATTATGTGCAGAGTTAGGAGACTCACTTGTAACTGCCTTTGATTCATCATCATTCGTCTTACTTTTCTTGTTGGTAAGGTGATTCTTCTTCGTCGTCTCTCCTTGGTCATCGTCTCCATCTTCATTGCTTCTAATGTGATTAAATCGTCCTTCCTCAATTAGTTTCTTCTTCTTTTTCACTTTTTTCCCTTGGCCAACATCTTCACAATCATTGCTTTTGACCTCGTTATAATCCTTATGTTTGCTTTCTTCACTCAATTTCTTGTTCTTTTTCTTTAACTTGTTGCCCTGCTCTCCATCTTCACCTTCATTGCTTCTACAATGATTACACTCGTTAAATGTGTTTCCTTCAATTAGCCTCGGCTTCTTTTTCATTTTCTTTCCGTCATCACCATCTTCGCAGTTATGTTTGCTTACTCCACTCCTTTTCTTCTTCTTTTTCTTCTTGCCCTGCCCCACATCTTCACTTACATTGTTTTTGACCAAATGTTGATCATCGGCCAAAGGCGGATCAAGTACATTACTTTGGAACATACATGAATCAGCTCTATTGGTTTCACCCTCTTGGTTTTTAGTTGTTTTATTTTGTTTGATCAGAGTTTTCATCTTGTGTCTGTGTCACTCGAGAATAAACAACAACATCATTACAGAACAAGAGATTGTTATAAAACATTTCAATTGAGGAAAGGGTTTGTTTCAGAAATTCATATTGATTCTAACAGTATCAACAACACAAGTTTTTGGAGTGAAAATCATATTCAATTGAAATCACAAATAAGTAAAATTGATTGTAATAATATTAAAAATACAAAGAAGAAGAAAAAAATGTATACCTTAAGATCAGATGAGAATTCAACAATGGAGATATTGCCGTGTTATCAGAAATAACCGGTGGTTGACGGCGGTAGGATTAAGTAGCCACGACGCAATTAGGTTTGAAAGTAGGTCCAATTAGAATCTGTACACGTCAATCACCATGCACCACTACCATTAACTCTTTTATTTAGGGTTAATATTGATTTTACCCTTTGACATATATGGCACTTTTGCTTTTGTCGTACATAGGATTATCATTTTTATATTACTCAAAAAATTGCACTCATAATTAAAATCCTCGTTCTATTAAAAATTATAATATTATACATGTTTGATAATTTAAAAAATTAAGTTGTTAAAAAAAAATTTAAAAGAAGAACTTTGTTATATGTTTCTAAATTTTTTAATTAGACAACTAATGTCATATCACAATTTATATTATTATTGAATTATTTATTAAATTTAAATATTATTCGGATTCTATTGTATGTCTCACTTCATCTTTCTCATAAAAATATTTAGTTTTTTTTTTCTATCTCGAAGTTTTTATTCAGCTTCATCTTCTTCCATTTTGTATTTTTTCTAAATTTTAAATTTTTTCTAAATTTTAAATTTTTTCTAGTCTCAATTATAGGGGTTTACAAACCTCACTCTGAAGAAATTGAAAAAAAAAATATAAATATAAAATTTAGGGGGACTTACAAACCTATCTCTAATGTTTTATAAATGTGATTATCAAAGTAAAAAAATTTCATCAAAATACATGGATTTGTCATAATAAAAAAGGGAGAGATTATTGGAACAAGTTTAGTTCTACGACTATCCTTAAGTATTGATGATAACAAAATGTATAGCACAATTTTATACTCTAACTATTTTGCTAAGTGTGCAGATAATAAAAAACAGATTCTGACTCTAAAGACTACCAGACTGTCGAACTAAAAAACACTCTGAAATAAAGGATCAATCAAAAGTGTGTTTATAAGGAAGTCAAACATCTGAATTTTCAAGTCAACGCTTCTGAAAAGAAACTATCCAAATAGACTCTGATATGACTTTTCAAGCATCTGAAACTTCAGAACTCTAATCTCCATAAACTCTGAATATCATTCACGCCAAGTTCTGAAGACAGATTCTGAACTCTACTCGAGTTTCATCAACTTATATTCGAAGCCTCTGACTAGAAGTTTATATCCAAAAGTCAACGATTGATTGAAGTGACAGAAGTATAAAAGCAAAATATACTTTCTATGAAAACGATTGTACTTTGTACCAACTAAGTTCCTCACGTCCCATCATACTCACCAACTCTCGGTTGCAAGCCTCACTCTAATGTTGTGAAATGAAGTGACCATTATATAACTATTATATTGAGGATAATTCCAACTTCACCCTCCAACAAATCTATTTTTTCCAATATAAAGAGGTCTTGGAACAAAAAAAAAAAGAGCATACAACTTAACACTACATAAGATTTCAAAACGCTCATACGTGAAACAGAAAAAGAAAAGTGTTTTCATCTAAGAAAACTATCAAATTCATAAAGGTTAGAGCATTTTCTCGAAATATTTCTTAAGTGTATTATTTGTTTTAAATTTGTGTTTATGCTTTTTTTAGCATCTTGTAAACACAACCTTATTTATCTTAACCTCTGGTTAATTTTTTTGAAAGACTAAGTTTAGTCATAATTCTCAAGAAGTAATTGGCAGTTAGTCATTGAGTTGTATTTCCTTAAGAGACTAGGGTATAGTTAGAACTTTCGAGAAGTCTTAGACAGTTGGTATTTGAGTTGTATAATTAGTTTGATTATTAGCTTAAGTCCTTATTAAGAAGGCGAATTCACTCAGGCAGGTGAACTAGACGTAGCTTCTTTAACAGCGAATCAAGATAAAAAAAATACTTGTGTTGTTTATCTTTATCATTATTGTTGTTGTTTGTGTTATTAGGTTGCAAAAGTTTTAATTTTATAAACCCAATTCAAATTCATCTTTCTTGTGTTTTTTGAACTTTCACCTTCTATATTCTTTTGGATCAACCTTTTTTCAATCCTCTTTCTTTGATAATTGTAGGTTGGTTTTGCAGGTGTCGTGGCAGAATTACAATGTTCCATTTCAAACTTATTCATAATTTCAAGTGCAAGCCTCCTTTTATTCGAAAATCATCATTTTGCTTGTCTTTTAGTATTCAATGTCAGGGAAGTACGTGATATGGCTAACATTTTTCATTTCAAACTCCTTCATTAGTTCACTCCTAAATTCACCAATGGAGTCATCATTACTTCATGTGATAAGCAGGTGTCGCTACTGCGAAAATCGGCGCCGGCAATACAGAAGAGTCGCCACCGTGCGTTATTTATCCCAAAGGAGGGAAAGGAAACGCTCGAAGTAAACCTAACGCAAAGACGGGAAAAGGTATGGTCATCGCAACCAAAACCTGGATTCGGGAGTCGGTTACGCAAGGGGAAGGTATTAGCACCCCTCACGTCCATCGTACTCGATGGGATCCACGCTTGCTTGGTTTGTACGGATTACACTTCTATCTAAACTAAAGGATGAGGTCTGAAAAGAAAAGAAAAGATGACTCGACAAAGCATCGCACTTTATGCCTACGTATTCCCGTCTGGAACGAGAAATCAGAGTCAACGTAGTTCGCCTAACTACGGGTTACAGGGAAGGTGGGTGAAGGTTGCTCGCTAGGATATCGCATCTCATGCCTACGTACTTCCACACTGCATGGAAGATCAGAGCAAACGTAGTTCGGGCTACGCACGACACAAGTTGTTCAAGTGTCTTTTATGAAAAATCTCACCTTAAACAAGGGTTTTCTTATTTGCAAAAAGGTTGATGTCTGTTCAAATCTTTTGACGGAAGAAATGAATTCACTTTGTTATAACCTTTATGAGTGTTTTTCTGTTGTTTTGAAGGAAGAAGAGATGACACTCTACAAATCCTAGGGCTAAAAAAGGGATAAAATCTACCCTAATGTTATCATGCATGGGTTAACACCTAATGTCTATCATGCTCCTCTCTTGCGCAGAGAGAAACAGAGATCCTAAGGGAGTAGACGGAAACAGAAACAGCAGATATATATACAATAGAGCAGTAAAATGCATGGATGCAACAGGACAAGCGAGGCAAGGGAGTCCTACTCAACCTCGAACCTAGAAAACAATAGGCAAAAGTGAACAGGATTCACTTTCAACCCAGCAAGCTAAACAACAAACAATACAATCCGGGAAATTCACACAATACATCAAAAATTAAAACAGCAAAAGCTAAACAGCAAAGCAGCCTTCATCAGCATCAACAACTATCTTCAGGCCTCAAGCAGACATCAGTCTTTATCCTCAATCTCCCAGTGGATTTTCTTCAAGTCCTAATCTCCAAGCTGAGAAAATCAATCACAAGAGTAAACTGGGTGTTAAGCAATTAGTTGACCACCAAGGGTGGCAAACATACTGCTATCAACACAACGAATATTTCTCTCAAGAGTTTTATCCCTTAGACATTAGCACCAAGCCTTCCAAAGCAAGGGGGTGAGTGTCTCAGAGAGACTCTGCATCACAGAGAAGAATGGAGGCAGTCAAGACCTTCCATGTTTGAGAATCAAGTTGGCTACTCTAGAGCTCTGCCTAACTCCTATGTCCTACAAACTTCAGCAGCCACCAGCAAGAGATACTCGTCATTAGCTCTGGAAATTGGTCTTCATTCTCTGATCTCCAACTGGGCTTCATCATCACAGGTCTCCAGCTCTCCCCAAATCCCAAACAAACCCCATACCCCACACAGACAAAAAGATAACCCTAAAGAGGGCACACCACACAATTAATCAAATATAAGCAATATACTAATAGCAGTAGGGGAATCTTAATATTTTCTAAGGGGATCTATCCTATACCCATAACCCCTATAGTCTCATACCCCAAAAACCAAATGAAAATTCCTAAAAGAATTAAACTATTTCACCTACGCTCACTTAAAACCCTAATTTTGAACACCTAAATGTCAAATAAGCAAACTATATCAAACAAGCTTCTAAAAATCATGGTACAAAATCCAGAGAGTCTACACATTCATATTTGATGGCATAAAAAATAATGGGATCAAAATCAATTAGAAAGTGCATGAACAAAAATTGACAAATTCATGTATGAAATGAAACACCTAAAATAGGCATTTATTTGGAAAATATGGGGAAAATATCAAATAAAAAATAAAATGCAATTTTTATTTTTTATAATTTTCTTGACTCTTTAAAGAAAATTATGCAAAAAGAATTATCAAAAAATAATGTTTTTTCAATTTGATATGATTTTTTGAAAATGAATGCAAAATGAAAAGAAATTAAAAAATGAATTATAAAGAAATAGGGGGAAGGGGTGAGAATAGCAAGGCCATCAGTTCAAATTATTGGGCTTTCACGCGCGTGGGGGTGCCAATAGAAGTTGAGCCCAATTCCCCCTACTAAATGAAACGGTGCGTTTCATTGTTTGAATTTTCCCACCAAATCTCAGATTGAATGCTAGCCGTGAGATGTGAAGTCAAGTCAAACTTCTTCATCTAATCCAAGGGTCCACGTATCTTCTTCTTCCTCCAGCCATTAGGGTTTCAGAATTTGATTCCCATGCAAGCATTTTCCACACGTTCTAACTCTCTTATCAGGCCATGAAATAACACGATGTAAAGAGCAAAGTTGCTCCATTTCTCTCCCTCTATCCAACCATGCTCATAGTTTCAGCTAACTCTCCATGGAACCCTCAAACAGCCAGCACGAAAAGTTGGGTCCACCAT